TCGAAAATTATCAATCGTTGGAATTAAAAAATTATAAAATGTTCAGTTTTTATAACTAAGAGTTGAAAATTTAAAACAAAGATTCTCTTAAATAATTCATACTGTAACCAAAAAATCTAATAAATATATAAACACACTTATTTTTTACAGACATTTTAATTTCAAATTTAGACAAAATTTCATATTTAAACCAAGAATTACGATTTTAGTTATTTTGTTTTGATTGAATAATATTATTCGGGGGTACTTGAAACTTCTAAAGTGTACTATTATATATCTATGATAGTATCACGGTTTTTGTTGATGTATAACGCGTTATAAGTACCTAATGGATATTGTGATATGATTAATTTGGAATTTATTATAGGTACCTATTATATGTCAAATTTTGGTTTAGTACCATAGATACTAGATATGTATATAATATGTCTTATACCTAGACTGACATACCGTCTCCGCTCAGAATCGTTTTTCTTATACAATGATATTATATCGTTGAATTCAAATTTAATATCATCCATTATACAGTGACCCACTTGTAACCTACTGTACAGCAGAGCGACACCCACTTGCCCACCTTTTTTTTCTATAAATGTCAATAAAGTTTTATCTGTTGGGCCAAAAAGTGTAAAAATTAATATAAGGCTCCTGATATATTGTTACAATAGCAATCAAAAGAAATATTAAAAATACATAGGCACAATTTTTTTTATAAGCATTTAAAGATCGAATGTTGACAAAATTTATCAATCATTGTAATTAATAAATTATAAAATGTTCAGTTTTTATAGCTAAGGATTGAAAATTTAAAACAAAGGTTTTCATAAATAGTTCATACTGTAACCAAAAATCTAAAAAATATATGAACACAGTTATTTTTTTACAAACATTTTAAATTCAAATTTGGACGAAATTACATATTAAAAAACCTAGAATAACTATTTTAGTTATTTTGTTGTGATTGTATAATATTATTCGTGGGTACTTGAAACTTCTAAAGTGTACTATTATGTATCTATGATAGTATCACGGTTTGTTGTTGATGTAAACGCGTTATAAGTACCTTAATGGATATTGTGATATGATTAATTTGGAATTTATTATAGGTCAATTTTTTGTTTAATACCATAGATATGTATATATAATATGTCTTAAACCTAGACTGACATACCGTCTCCGCTCAGAATCGTTTTTCTTGTACAATCATAATATATCGTTGAATTCAAATTTAATATCATCCATTATACAGTGACCCAATTGTTACCTACTGGCTACTGTACAGCAGAGCGACACCTACTTGCCCACCTTTTTTTATATTATTGTCGTATAATTTTTCGCTCTTTCAAAAAACTTGAAATTATATAGTACAAACTACAAAGTCCCACATAACTTCGTAAGTTATGAATGGTGTAATTAAAAAAAAAAGCTGAGTATAAATCCCCAAATCAAAATCACGAAAGGGTGTACATTTTTCAGTTAGAAATTTATAAAAAACAATGTTATAGCTAACGTTTGAAACTTGACTAGAAGATTCCTCGTAAGTCATACGTTTTTCTACCTTTAACAAAAAAAAAAACTTTACTGGAAAGTAACGTTAATTATATTATATTTTATAGCCTTGAGAAATGTTCGATTCTTGTTAATTTTTTTAAAATTTTTTATTCAAGTAGTGTTATTCTTGGCAGACACACCGTCCGTTTAAGCATAGAATCGTTAGTAAACAATGATTTATGGATGAATTCAAATTTAACACATCCATGATCCATTACAATTACAAAGGTACTTACTCGACAAGTGACAAACTGACAACTACTGTACCTACTGCTAAGTGCAGAGCGGTACCCACATAGAAAATAGATTAAAGTGGGTACCCTTCCACTAGCAAAAACACTAACATTTCCGTATAATTATATAATATATATTATTATAAATATCTATGGTGAAGCGGGGAATTGGGAAGTGTTCGTCTTATCAATCACAGATTACACGCCGGCGCAAGGTTTTAAGCACGATGTAGAGAAGATAAGGTGACACCGCTCCCGTATCTTTCAATGGTACAATATTGGCGCAAAAAATCACGGCAGTTTGGTAGTTCAGAATTTAACACCAGAGTACGCCACCCTTCGTTCGAAGGCCGACTTTTATACGAGTCGTAATGGAGATAGATTTAAATTTTATTTAAATGTATTAATTATTGTTGTTCAAATGTCGATAGTCAGCTTGCCAACATAATATATTTTATGTTATATTGTATAGATTATTAAAATAAACTAATGTTTTGGAATCATGTACCAATTATTATGTAAAAATTGTAATAATATTATATGGTATGTAGCCATATCGTATAAATTTATTGATTTAAATAAAATGCATATTTATTTTATGATATTTATATGTTTATTTATTAATTGACACATATATGTACAAAAATGGAATTAGTAATATCTACGTACAATAAGTATGGATAAGGACGAGTTTAAACTGTTAATAAAAACTCAAAATATATAGGTACTACTACCGTCTACCAGCTACTGACCCAAGTACACCTAAATAAAAATCATAATTATAGGTACCCATATGATATTGATATATAATAACAAAAAAAAAAATTAAATATTAAGCAATGATGTAGAGAAAATATAATATTTACAATAGAGAATAGAATATATTATCAGTTAAAATAATAATATAAACCTAATATAAGTAGTATAAGTAATTGATAATATTCTATTTTTAATTTTAATTTACATAATTGTTTGTATTTACACAAGTCTTAAGAGTTAAGACTCCCTTAATGGTCTGTGCCCTGTGGATTGTTTAATAATATTTCGTATATACTTTCTTATTTTGTTAAAAAATGCCAAACAAATGTTTTGTGCCAGGATGCAAAACTGGCTATGCCAGTTACAACAAAAAGTTAAAAGTAGAAAATAAAAAACCACCTATTTTATTTCGTGCACCAAAGGTGAGTCATAATTTTTAAATACCTACAATAGAGATTTATTTGAGGGAAACATTTGTATAATTTTCTTTACCACCTAAGTACCTCTAAAAGGGCATTATTAATGATACATATTTGTATGTGTTTAATAAAGTAAACTATTTATACAATTTTAATAAATTATAATTTCAGATCAAAATATAGCTTAATTGCAAACCTAATTTTGTTCTATTAAAATATGTAGTAAATATAATTATATAATTATATTATAATATAAATATCCTGAATTCTCTATATTATAAAATAGATAAATTCTGACCTAAAAAAAAAGTGTACACTGTGCACTATGGAATAAAAATAACTAAGTTGATTTTATACATAATATTTACAAAGCACCATAGTTAAAATAGTAAAAAAGATAAATGATTAATATATAGAAATGAAAATCATCAAAAAAAAATTACATTGAAGTTATAAAAATATTTAATTGATAAATATTTAGATTGATTTTGAAAATAAAATTGATGACATACTCGACAATGTTCATGAAATACCAGTCGATAATTTGATCTCAATAGCTGATCATGACTATACTGCTCTCCAAATAAATGAAGATGCTTTAACTGTATTAAGTGGTTATGTTGCAAGGAAGATGAGAAGAGTAAAACCTGCCAAATGTTGTCAGGAATGTTACACCATGTTGTGTGCCCCAGATAATCATGAAGTACAAGATAGAGAAAAACTCCTAGAATTGAAAACTCGTGGTTATTTACTTGTACCATCTAAAAAACTTTATGAAATTATTTACCAAGTAATATAATAATATAATATATAAATATATATTATAAATATAAATATGCAAACAATTTGCATATGTATAATATATTTGTATACTAACTAATAATAATTTCCTTTATTATTTGTTTTAGCTTGAAGATGCCATTTGCTCAATTATTGCAAGAACTAAAATCCAAAAAAATTTATTATTTTTAATATTAGATGAGCTAAGAACAGAAAAATTTAATATTAACTTACTCGGTTGTGATGAACATGCAAATGCATTGACCAAAAATATTATAACATTTTATTTACAATCAAGAATGTATTTTGTATGTGATGCAGAGAATGCTAATCGAGAAAAAAATAAAAGACAAAAAAATTTAGCGAAGCAGTCGAAACTTATATAACCGTGTACATAAAGTTGTTGAAATAAAATACTTATATAATAAAACTTTCTTAATTTAAACTATTTTAAATGTTACCTAATTGAATAGAATGATTACCTAAAAATAATTCTTACGTGGTTAATATTATAAATTTGAAGTAATAGTGTCAAAAACGACAAAAATGTATATAATTTTTGAAATTTTACGTTAAAAACAATGTATTCACAATATAAAAACCGGCCTTCGGGCGAATGGTGGCGCTACCTACCACACTGCCGAGAAAATTTGCGACCGGAATATGTACAAGTGGTGTCACCTTATCTTCTCTACATCGTGGTTTTAAGATTATCTAAGACCCGCTGTAGATAATACTATCTTTTTTCTATGGTATTATCTATAATGGCCATGATGCAGCGGCATGGTCATGTGGACCTCGGGAGCAGTTTGGGCTAGAATAGTAGTACCTAATTGAGATGTACAACACTTTTATAGTAGTCAGATTAGTAGAATTTATAAAATTATACGTTTCACTTTAATAACTTATATAATATTTTATTGTTCTATGATAATATACTATGATACATTGATACTATAATTATCATTTTATCACCTAATCATAGACGGCTCGACTTAATTATTAAACTATTAACTAATTAATACCTATTACCTAACTACTAATTTTTTGAAACTTCATTCTTCAGCAAGGTGTGTTGGTAAATATTAATTAGGTAATTATTATTGTACAAAAGTATAAATAATTGTGAACTTATTCTCAACATACTTATACCAGAACTGATAAGTATAATTAAACCACTATTTGCTTATACCTATTAATTTAATTCAGTTTTCTATAATTTTAAATTTTAATAGATTTTAATTTTATAGCAAATAAAATGTCGAAAATTGTTGCTATTGGTTCATGTAGTACTGATATGTTCTTGTAAGTATGTAGTATAGTTACACATGTATATTATGTTAAAATTCTTTTGTAACTACTAACTACCGTTTACCTACCTCATAGTTATTAATTACTATTAAATAATTTATCAAATAAATTATAATGTATGTAGATAGCAATAATCTAATGGATAAAATAATACATTGGTTTAAAAAGTATTTAATGTAGGTATTAATTAATATTAGATCATTTAATTTATATTTATTAACTGTTATTTCTTTTGTAGAATGTAAAATGATAATTGATACAAATAGCAGTAAGTACTATACTCTGTTCAGCAAGAGTAACCTACGGTTCTGCGCATCCCCTCGTATCACCTGGTATCTAAACCAGTTCCCCTATGGAAGGGTGTTGCGTGGGAGAACCAGTTTTGGTCGATGCACGGAGCGTTCTCTCGCTGAACAGAGTAGAAGTACCACATCATGTACTATGTAGTAACCTATCTGTATTAACTATAGTGTTTTAAAATATTTTTCATAGGTATAATTTTAGAATCTCAACTTTAAATGTAGTTTCTTGTAGTAAATTTGATCTATCCGGTACTTTTAGGAGGTAAATATTGAAAATAATCAGGAAAAAATAGGGCTAAAAACTACCTACTGTTAAACATTTTTTTGTTTGGTAAAAACTAAAAAGCTTGAAAATTTAGCATGAGGTTTGCCTTAAGTTATCATTGAAGCACTTTCAAAAAAATAAAGATACATTGGCACAATTTTTTTTTAAAGCATTTGACGAGGCCTTTGAAGTCCAAATTTTTACAAAGATTAACAATTTTAATTATTTTGATGCAATTCAAAAATATTATTCTCGGAGACTTGAAAATTGTATGTACATTATTATATTTTGTATACACAGTAGTGTTTTGAAAACATTTAGTTTTGAGCTATTGCCTATTTATACTCCAAACCTATTCATACAACACTACGGTAAGAAGGTATTGACTCAATAATTATTAACAATAATCAATTTTTGATATTGACTCAAAAGTTAAAAGTAATAATAAATCATGTAAATATTTAGTACTACAATAAATAACAATTAAATATTAATAGTATAATAAATGTAATGTTTCTAGCAAAAATCAATCTACCGTTATACTCTTAATAAAATAATTCACTTTAATATAAATATCAATTATTAATAATATTTTAATAAAATTTACTAATGTCGCCATAAAAAAAAATTCAATAGGGATTAAAATGTTGTACCTATTTCACTTATTTTCACATAACATGACCAAAATTATTTTCAAAACAACAAAATTTGCATACTAAAAAAGAATAAAAGAATATCTAAATCAAGGATTAAGATATATCTTAATCCTTGATCTAAATATAACAGCATTAGTTTATCACAACATAAAATGATATTTTGCTAAACATTTAATTTGTTTACAGTTATACATCAAAATTGCCTAACCCTGGACAGACAATACATGGAAAACAATTTACTTTAGACTTTGGTGGTAAGGGAGCAAATCAATGTATTGCTGCACAGAAACTTGGAGCTGATACTGTATTTATTGGTTGTGTAAGATGTCATAATACATGAACACATCCTGCATTATATTATTTCGTTTATTTAATTTCAATTGCAATTTTTAATTTGTATGTTATACCTAGGTTGGATCAGACTATTTTGGTAGAGATATTATAAGTAATTTTGAACGATGGGGAGTAGACACTCAATTTATATCAAAAAAATCAGTTGATACAGGAGTAGCACAGATTAATGTTACTGATAACGGTAAAAATTAAATGTCTATTACATGAACATTAAAATACTCTAATGTTCATGGTAGCTATCTGATAATATAATAATTACCATCTACAAAATCCATTATAATTTATTTATATTTCAGGAGAAAATTATATCATTATAGTAGCTGGAGCTAACAGTACATTACAAAAAGAGGATGTGGATAAAGCATATGATTTATTACTCAAGGAGACTAGTGTTGTACTATTTCAATTTGAAACACCGCTGGAAACAACAGAATATATACTTAATAAGCTTTCTACAGCCAACAGTAAATGTAAATCATACTTAAGTACATGTCAATATTTTATAATTTAGATATTAAAACAAAATAATCAGTTGTTAAAAAGATGTTTAGTGAAAATTTTACAGTCCCCATTTGATCACAAAATTTGGCAGAACACATATTTGAAAATTGGGATGTTTGGTCATCTTATACAATATATAATACATAATATATACATTATATTTGTATTTATTTTTGGAAGGTCTTAAATATGCTTATTTATTTGTAGGTACTATATTAATTTTGTATATCAATGATTTCAAGTTCTTTCCATATTAAATTTACATGTATATTACTCATTTTTTTGAACACAAAATAATATTGCAATTAATAGTATAAAAACAAATTGTTTTAAATATATTTAAAAATAATGTTCATAAAATATCAAAATTAAATTTAAATAATAACATAAATAATCATAATAATCATAGTCTAGTTTTTGTAAGAATTAAAATATGAAATAGTATTAATAATAATAACCAAACATAATATTAATAGCACCACTGCATTACATAGGATAGTTTTTATTTAAAGTATAGGCATCTGATGTCTTTTATTATTATTTTTAAAAATTTAAACTGTATTAGAAAAGTATTATGATAATTTATTGTCATTCATATAAATATTTTAACCCTAATCTGTACGATAAATTTAGAATTTTTTATCTATTTTCATTTAATATCCACTATTTTACCTATTTATGTTACTTATTGGTGAGTTATTTACTTTGAATTAATTATGCTATATTTTTACGATCAACATAATATGTACTACGTATAAGATATATTATGCATTCCAGGCTCGGATCCAGCCCACATTAACGGGAGGGGCGGATTATAAATATCTAAATATATTTACCTACTGGTAAATACGAGTATATATTTATATACATATTATAAATATACAATAATTGCTTATTAATAAATTATAATGAATATTTTTTTTCTCAAGCTGAATTGAATGCCTTTATTTAATTATTTACAATTTGAAGTTTCCCTTCTATTATAAAATACCTTTTTAAAATGTAAAATAGTAAGTCGTCAGTCACCACAACAATTTTGCTATTAGGCGGGTAACAATGAACAGATAACCAATCATTTATATAGATAATATATTTCTGACAGTCGAATATGGAAAATATTTTTAGCCTATGAGCTGCTCAGCTATCAGTCGATGGTCGTCGTCCCTCAATAATCGGTCATAATATTGTTATCAACAATTTATAAATGTGTGTTATTAAAATAAAATATGATGATTTGTGACTGAATAATATTACAATACATTTACTTAGGATAACACAAAATATTAAATTTAAATAATAAGGCCAACGGAGGAAGGGGGCAGTTGCCCCTACCGCCCCCGACTGGATCCGCACCTGATGCATTCTCATATTTTTCAATTTATTTTACAATTCCAGTTAGCTGGAGTCTATACATTTTAAACTGATGTAATGTTAACATAAAATATATAAATAAAGTTCTTATTTACTAAAAATATTAGGACTTTGTTCAATTATAGAACTAATTTTAATATAAAAGAATTTAACTATTCTAATTATTTTATTTAGGTTGTAAAATTGTTAATGGTGCTCCAGCTTATACAAATTCTTATCAGAATATACTTAAATTAGCTGATATATTTTGTGTTAACGAATCCGAGGCAGAAATTTATACAAATTGTATAAAGAAAATTAATAGTATTGAATCAGCCAATGAGGTGTTATCTTTACTTTTAAAACAAGGATGTAAAATTGTAATAATTACATTAGGATCTCTAGGTGCCGTATTTGCATCTAAAGACGAACGAGAACCACAGTGGGTTAAAGTGCCAAAAATAGAAAATCCTATTGATACCTCTGTAAGTAATGTTAATAAAGTAACATTTTGTTAATTATTAAATTCTATTGAAACATTTTTTGTATTTTATTTCAGGGCGCTGGTGATGCATTTTTGGGATCTCTGGCTTATTTTATTGTTCATACACCAAATTTGAGTTTATATGAACAAATTAGAAGAGCATGTATTATAGCTACTAGGACAGTTCAATTTCAAGGAACTCAGAAAAGTTATCCATTAAAACATGATTTACCTGAAGAACTTTTCAATTAAAAATATATACATGAAATAAATATATAGTAGTACTTAATTGTAATTTATATATTTTTAAAATTATGTTATTTGTTATAACGTTTAAGTTATTACATTGTCATTATATGACAATGTTATTTTATCAACATATTATAAATTATCCTAATAAAATGTCTAATATTATTGTCAATGTATGTCTATATTATTAGTTTAAAACAAAATTAAACCATATGTGTAATAGATAGTAAGACATTTTTACTTATGGTACTAAAGTTGTAGGTTGTACAATATTTGATTTCCATTCATAACCCGCCTACTTTTTGTCTCACTTTAAGTCGTTCTCATATTAATTAATTAACTATCAATTTTAATTTCAATAATTTCTTAAAAGTATGAACATAACAAGTAATAATTCATCTGACGACTTTGTAAGTACAATGTATATATAGATATTATATACTTGTGAGTTGTGATCCATTAGTATTCTCGTTTCTGTATAAAATATTATTATGAAGTGTTGTCAGTGTTGACTAATATAAATTGAAAATAATATATATATTATGTATAGCACGGTGGTTCTCAACCTTTGTGTGTTGGCAAACCAAGATATTTACCCATTTTTTCATGTGACCTTTTTGAAAATATTTTTAACTCGTTTTGAGCTCTTTACGAACAATTTCAAATTTTATTTTAGATTCTGAGTGAAATAATGAATGTATTGATTTTACAATGATGTGTGTTTATTTTTTTATTTGTGTGTGTGTACACGATAAATAGTCGAAATAATGCTTCGATTTTCAACTTCAGTATCTTGTTCGATTGGAAAGTGAATATCGTTGGTGCATTGGGAAGGTCAAAATTTAAAATGTCCTGAATTTTTAAAAGCGCCAAGAAAAACAAAAGAAAAATTAATTAAAAACTGGAATTTTTATGCAAAATTGAATTTGGTTTTTGGTGTAACTTTAAAACAAATGACCATAGATACATGAAATTTTCACTGGTTTATATTTGCATTTTCTATACACGATAACATTTTCATTTTCCATTATTTTTTAGTTTTTTTCTAAAAATATCAATACAATTTTATTTGTTGGTTAAAAAATCTTGAAAATTTAATAGAAAGCTTATAGCATATTGTTTCAAAGGCAGATGAAAAATATTAAAAATCTTTAGTCACAGTTTTTTTTTATAAGCATTTAAAGTTCAAAAATTGGCAAAATATGGAAAAATCACGAAAATTAGCAAATTATTTTGAGTTAAGAATTCGTAAAAATTTTTCTTTTTAAATCTAAGATTTTAAAATGTAATACAAGATTCCTTAGAAGATTATTTACCTTTATCAAAAAAAAAAAATGTCTATAAGAAAGTCAAATTAAATTTTTATGAGCGTTTGAAATTCAAATTTTTACAACATTGGGCTCACTCGATTTCTCATGTAGCGATTTCCTTATTTTGTTGTACCTAATTCAAAAACGAATAACTGTAGGTACAAAGAAAATGTATTCACTGGGTGTTTATATTAGCATTTCCTATACAACATACAATTTTGAAAATATTTTGACTCTTTTTTAGCTGTTTACGGACATTTACAGTTTTAAATCTTTTTAGTTTTTTTTCTATAAATATTAATAAAGTTTTATCTGTTGGGCCAAAAAGTGTAAAAATTTAATACAAGTCTCCTAATATATTGTTACAATATCAGTTGAAAAATATTAAAAATATATAGGCACAATTTTTTTTTATAAGCATTTCAAGATCGAATTTTGATACAGTTTAATAATTATTTTGTAGTTAATAATTTATAAAATGTTCAACTTTTATAGATAAAGATTTAAAATTTAAAACAAGATTCCCTATAAGTAGTTAATTCTGTTGACTGTTACCAAAAAATATAAAAAATACATAAGCACAGTTTATTTTTATAGTCATTCTAAGTTCAAATATGGATGAAATTACATAATAAAAAACCTAAAATAACTATTTTAGTTATTTTGTTGTGATTGTATAATATTATTCGTGGGTAGGTACTTGAAACTTCTAAAGTGTACTATTATGTATCTATGGACTATGATAGTATACCTACATATCACGGTTTGTTGTTGATGTATAAACGCGTTATAAGTACCTAATGGCTTAGATCATATACTATATGATCTAAGCCTAATGGATATTGTGATATGATTAATTTGGAATTTATTATAGGTAGGTACCTATTTAAAGGTCAATTTTTTTTTAATACGATAGATATGTATATAATGTCTTAAACCTAGACTGACATACCGTCAGAATCGTTTTTCTTATACAATGATATTATATCATTGAATTCAAATTTAAATTCATTATAAAGTGACCCACTTGTAACCTACTCTGGGTGTACAGTAGCACCTTTTTTTAGTTTTTTTTTTCTTTAAATTTCAATAAAATTGTATACTTATACTATAATGGAAAACTGAATACAAGGCTCCTGATATATTGATACAATATCAGTTAAAAAATGTTAAAAATACACAAGCACAATTTTTTTTATAAGTATTTAAATTTTGATTTTTGACAAAATCTATTAAATTTAAAATTTAATATTTATTTTGTAGTTAAAAATTTATAAAATGTTCAAGTTTTATAGCTTAGGATTGAAAATGTAATACAAGGTTCCACGTAAATAGGTTATATATAAATTTCTTTATTCACAATAATATCATCATAATATAATATATTTAGGTACTGAGTAATATCATAGACTGACTGACCGTCTTCGCTTAGAATCGTTTTTCTTATTCAATTATATTATATTATTGAATTCAAATTTAACACATTCCATTTCAGTGGCCTACTTGTAACCTACTGTACAGCAGAGTGTCACCCACTTGCAGTGGCGTACGCAGGGGTAGGGTTCTGCCCCCCCTGAAATTTCTTCCGTTGACAAAAAAATAAAACCATTTAAATACACAAAGTCGATCAATTGTTGGTAATTTTTAATAGATATAATATTAATTGTTAAATACCTATGACAAAGATGTCGATAATCATAGTTTCAGTTTTTTGGCTGATTTAGAACATTGCTAAGCATTTGTCATAACCGTCGTATGGTGTATCATCATGTATCACTGTCCATCGATAACTACCACATATTACGACCCGAAGAGGCTCTAGCTCTATAGAATATAGATGACCATAGGTGTCAAGATTGAACACTCGAGTGTTCTTAATGTAGACTACATTTGAGACTAATTATAATTTGTTATAACCAATTACATAAAAAATATTTAGAAAAAAATAATGTAAATTATTTACACAGGTGAACAGTGGCGTGGCGACAAGATTTTTATCTAGGGGCGAATACATTTTTTTGGTACCCAGTTATAGGTTTATAGGTACCCAATTATATATATATTTTGTTCATGGTGATCTTACTGTTCTTAGTGTTCATACCTATTCAATATCACCACTGGGTGACCTAAACACCCACCCACCCTTGAATTTTACTAGGGGCGGTTGCCCCAAAAAATATCCTTCTCCACGCCATTGCAGGTGAAACCCTAACCGAACTTTTTCACTTATAAATGCCTTTATTGTGTTTAATTTCTAATTGATTTGATAGTTCTATACACGACATTATACGTATTAACGCCTAACGGTACAAATCGATAAGATTTTCTGAAGTGCTATGCATTGTCATCTGTCAATTATTTTTAATGGGTTTTATTATCAGCGATATTTATTGATCTTGCTCAATACTTAATCGAGTATTTGGTATGGTCAGTTAATTTAACATTTATAAAACTACCCATACAACACATCTATAGTAGATTCAAAATTATTCGTCAGGCCACCCTGATAAATTCCGTGAACGTAGAATGATCATTTTGTTCGCAAAAAATATTTTAAGTCCAAACCGTCAACGTTTAACTGAAGGCAGTTTATTTAAGTAAATTTTTTTTAATACAAACTAGTTAAATATACAATATACAATTATTATTTAATTTTTAGTACATTTTTTTAAATTGCTTGTTTATATATTTAAATTAAATTTTTTGCCTTTTTTTAACATTTTAAATGCTTTTTTTATTGAGTATATTGCCTTTAAATTCCGAACCCTAGTGATGACTGATGAATGATGATTATCGTTGTCAAGCATTTTATAATATAGTTATACGTCATTAAATATTATTTTTACATCATCCCAGAAAACTAATAAATAGTCGTGTTACGTATTAATGGACCGTCCGTTTCTTTTTTAATTGTCGGCCTGTCAAATCTGTTACTCGGGTTTTAATTCCATATTTATAGTTTTGACATGTCTCCATTTTTCGTAACAAAAAACTCGGAATGATTGATCATCCACGGACTAAGATATTGTGGTCTCATCAGTCATCACAGACTATAGTTTGTGGTTTTATGATGATATTATGATTTATGATAACCCATATATTTTAACGTACCTACCACAGAATATATTATTCTGTGCTTAGATCATATTATACATTATTACATTATATCTAAAGATCTAAGATTCTGTGTATGGACTATGACTTATGAGCCGATAAAATAGTGATAATCACGGCCATATAGATAGATCTGACAACTCTAGGGTCTGTCTATACGCAGTCGATTAGACCACCACCGCCGTTATCATTTTGTTGTTATCAAAAAAAAATGTTATCTTAAATATTATATTCTCACTCATATCAAATATTATTATTGTATATTATTTATAAATTAAATCCAAGTCTTTTGCTGGAAGTCATGTACAATGATACAAATGATTTAAATAAACAATACAAAATAATTAATTAAAACATGTATAGGTGGTTAATTTATGGATTATAAAATAAAAAATTAATTTAAATATATAGTGTAATAAAAATTGTGTTTTGATAAAATTGATAGTCAATTGTACTTAGTAAAAAAAAATACAAATAATAATAATAATAATAACAATCATGTTCATGCAAGTTTCTTTTTTTTGTGTGATTTTGGTATATCTAATAACTGTGTAGACGAACGCTTTGAAGGTAATAATACTAAACCATTGTCTTTATTTGTCATAGAATTCATATTTGAATGAATACTATTTAAAATTTTAAGTTGTTCAGACAATTCTTTCGAATGGTCATTTGAATTAATTATATATGTTAAATCTAACATTTTTTTTAGAGTTTCTCGAAATTGTTCTGGAAGATTTTGTTGCTTTTCAGTGTCTGGAATTGGATTATGTTGATCACTTATACTGTTGTCTATGTCTATAATATTTAATTGTGAAGCATTTTCCTTTTTCAATACATCAATAGGTGATTTTGTTAATATGTTTTTACAGTGTATATTTTTTATAGAATAATAAGGATCAGCTGATATGAATGAATTATTTTTAAATTTTTCAGGTAAATCATCAAATGAATAACCTGGAATGTAAAGGAAAATTGCACATATATGTTTACATGGCCAATGGAATTTAATGTAATCAATACATGTACAATCTGGTATTAGGAAATTAACTGTGTAAACACAAGTTCCATCTTCGCTCTTAACATGAAATGAATGTTCTAATTCTAACTTTTTTATTTTGTTTTCAGAATATATATTTTGAGCACTTATGTAAAATTGTAAATTCTTGTGGTTGCAATAAATATTATTATTAAATAATAAAAATGTTTTTATTCAATAAATGAATATTTTATAATATTATTATTATTATTATTATTATTATTTGTATTTTTTTTTACTAAGTACAATTGACTATCAATTTTATCAAAACACAATTTCAATCATTGTAACATGACTTCCAGCAAAAGACTTGGATTTAATTTATAAATAATATACAATAATAATATTTGATATGAGTGAGAATATAATATTTAAGATAAAGTTTTTTTTTGATAACAACAAAATGATAACGGCGGTGGTGGTCTAATCGACTGCGTATAGACAGACCCACAACTCTACGATTTTCGTGTGCCGTTATTGTATACGTATCCGGGGGAATGCTATGTGGCGCTATCTACTTACAAACTATATTTTGTACAAATTTTAACGTTATAGACTGAAAAACTACATTGTAGTAACTCTTTGAAATATTTATAATTTTTACTATACCTATAGTTGTAAATGTGTAATACTTAAAATGCTATACTATGAATGTAGATGGCGCCACTTAGCATTCCCCCGATATGCCGATACAATAACTGCACATCCCGACCACGAACTGTCGAGCTGCCAGACCATCATATGGCCGTGATGATAAATGATAATAGGTCTTCCAAGGTGTACTGATTCACCATCTTGCGCTCTTCTAAAACCATGAACTTGATGGTTTAGTTGGTGGTTGTGGGGGGGGGGGGGGTGGCAGGCCGGTGGTTATATCATTCTCAAGGATTTTTATCTTTTTAGTCCTAGTTTCGATTGAGTAAAAATATGTCAATGTCCAATGGTTATAAATTATAATATTTATAAATGTTTAATTGCTAAATAATATTATATTATTGAATGTCAATGGAAAAAAAATGTCTTGAAATAAAAAAAAAAATTCGAAAATGGTATGTGGGTTAACACCGCGTTACCCGAAATGGTAACGTAATTTTTGAACCGCCGTTTAGCGACCAAAGAGTTTCGTAGAGAAATACCGAACCTCTTTGGTCAACGCGAACACGTTTTACATAACAAGCAATGATTTGGTGCCGTGGGTTCTCATTGCTCAACGCTCGGCAGGACAGGTACCCCCCCACCTTCGGACCTCCCCCACTAACATCCGTCCCGATAGTTTCACCGAGCCTGTGCGCAGTGTTGCCAGACGTGGCGATTTATCGCCAAAGTGGCGATTTTCAATAATGGTTTGGCGGAGATTTTTGACTTGTGGCGGGTGGCGGAAAAGTTGGCGATTTTCAATTTGAAGTGGCGATTTAATGGAGATTTTTTCCCCTGTCCAAATTGTATTCATTTAATGAAATAAATTTATTTATTTCAAAATTATTTATTATTTTACTGTTTTTATCATAGAATTGATAATAGAAAAATTATTATCTATAATTTTGCGGGCTTGTAGCGACTAGCGAGTAACGAGTAGGTCTGCGGCGAAACGGTCTACGGCAAAATGGTCTGCGCCCTGCGGCGTCGCGGCGAATCGGTCGCGGCGAAATGTCCGGGTTCGTGTACTTTGTACTTTGCTCCCCCATTCCCACACACAAACACGGGCACTCGGCAGTCGGCACACCCCCCACTAGTCTAGTCTTAGTATTCTTGTCTATGGTCGGCAGTCGCAACTCGCAATACGCAATACATATTCGCGATACTGTACATACTGTACTACATATTCTGGGTCCTGTTACTCCGACCATTGCGGCATTGCAATCACTTAGTACACTTACCCAAAACCCAAATTACTGGCTGCTGCAATTTATGTATGCTTACAAAGTCAAATCATGGGCAAGACAGAGAAACTTAGAAAATATCGGCAATGTTGGGAATCAGAGAACTGGGCTAAAGGTAATAAATTTGTTTAATTGTAATTTTGAATTTTAATGTACTGGTACCTATGTCTGTATAACTAAATATTAATGTATAATACTTTAGGATGGTTAAAAGAAGCTGATGCAGATGCAAATAAAATTGGTGAAGCATTTTGTAAGATTTGTCGGTCATTCCTTAGAGCCCATTTGACGGATTTATTTTATAGTTGCGTGTAATAATTTTTTTTTTTTTTGGCGTTTTTTTTCGTTAACGATTTTGGCGGTAAATGGCGTTTTTTGTATCTTGATTTGGCGATAGTAAATTTTACAAATCTGGCAACACTGCCTGTGCGTCACATACACACCGACGTCCGCACTTCGTAACCGCCTCGTTCATTTTCTCATCACACGGCGTCGACGGTGTATTGCCATAGCCCGATAGCCGTTCGAACGGGAAAACTCGTAAGAACGCGTCCTACGGCGTTCGTATCGTTTTGAGGAAGCAGACGGCGCCGTTCAACCCGGGAGTCTACCAATCGTCAACCGTTCCGTGCACTCCACGTCGTCCGCACAACCGAAGCCAACAATCATGTCGAGTGAGTACTCTCTTGTTCTTCTCCGTGTCATTTTTATCATCTCGTCCTTTGCCTGTTGACGGCAATTGACGACACAAGATGTCCGTCGGTCAGCCGCACCACACGACGAGTTTGTCGTTCCGAAAGGTGGCGGCGGCGGCGGCATTGACGGCGCTTCACGGTCGTCGCGCGCTTAAGGTTTGAGTCTCGTGCCGCGGCCGTGACCACGTTTTGTCCGGGCACCGTCTCCAGACCGGCCGCCGCTCGGCCACGGGGGGCTCCGTCGTCCTCGTGTGTGATTGCTATAATATTATTTCAACAATTCGTCGTTGACCTTATCTTGACGAACGAAATCGTTGTCCCGTTCACGTGTTTTACACGCATCGTACGATATTTTTTTTTTATCACTCGTCCGATGATAACGGGTCAATGGCTTCGTGCCCGCGCGGCGATCCGGGAATTTTGAGCCCGCCTGAGACGTCTGGTGCGTTTCGCGGCGCGTTCGATTCGCGTCTCTTATGCGCCGATCAACAAGGGAGTGCCCCCGTTACTGTCGTGTCCAGTGGCCGTCGGTCAATGTCGCGCGCGCGCGACGTAAATAGTAAATTAGAATATTAGATATTAATATTGTAGGTAGGTATATTATCGCAATGCGGTGACGGAATATGTCGCCGTGGTGGGGGCCCAGCGACCGTTACCAGTAGCTCTCGATCCCCTTACCCCGCCCTTTATTCCGTACGTGTGTCGAGGAGGTCTTTTTTTTTTGTTATCTATCAATACCTTAATTTTGTCATTATTATCTATTGTGTTTTACTCTGTTTTGTCTCTGAAGTCTGAATGATACTTCATGTCTTCCTATAGTACAAAGGTGTGGGACCGGTCGGTTTATCTGTTTTTTTTAAATTTACTACTGGTGTTCACCGGTTTATTTCCCACATATAGGAATTCTTCGACCATTTGTTATACTCTGTTCGTTCCTGTCATTTAATTTTAACTTTGCCATTTTTTTGTCCATATTTTATATTAATTAATTGGTCCTGTATAGGATAGGTATATCGTCTGTATGTTATACAAATCGAATAATCCATAATCCTACTTTACACCTTATGATCAGCACTCGATTGAGACAGTAAACTCGACTAACCTAAACACAAAATACAATCTTTGGTCAGTGCATGGACAAGCTGATATAAACAGCTATTATTCGCTGGTCGGAGTGGCTACCTCCATCATTAAAATATCTGATACCTATCTGTGTGCACCTAAGCTGTCAGCTGAGTGCTGAGTACTTGATAATAGGTACATCATATTATTTTGGTGAGGGCAGACACTCGATCCAGTGAATGTTATGCTAGTAGACACTCTTCTCTATCAATATTAGTGCTTGTCCTGTTAAACCTTAAGGCCTAAGCATATACATGTCCAACTTAGACATCAGTTTTTTCATCTTTTCACCTTTTCTTAATTTTTTTTTTTATATTTTGACCTGCTTAGACATTTATTATCCTAAAACCTGATGTCCATTTCCTTGAATTCTATGGTATCTATGGTTCGGGTAATTAATTAAAATTTTTAAATATTAATCTAAAATATTTAGGTACTTAAGAGTCATGCTACATGATCCTTACATTTGTTAAATGTTTCATATGTAAACCATAATAGGTACTTACTTATCTGCTAACTCATTTATAAAAGTCATGAAATTATTGAATAATAAGTATTTAATGATATTATGGATAGGTATCTAATGTTAATGAATTCCTAGTAAATTTGTTCTTGGTTTTGTTAGCTATTATTTGGCAGTTACTATTTGTTAGCGACCAATTTGTTACTTAAAATCTTTTAAGATCTTTTTAAAATATTTTTTCTTGTGCCATGTTGAATGTAGGTAGTGGTGAGAGTGCATCTTACTGTCATGGCATTCATAGCTTTGAATTCTTCTGATAAACCATTGTCCACCCTCACTTTATAATGTGATCCATTTATATACATTCTTGCACTTACCTATAATCTTCATTTACATTAAAACCATGATGGTACTTATATCTTAGGTATTAAAACTAGGGCTAGCAACTCTCATGCTTTCAATATTTAAGTTGATTGATTATTTTGTCTTGATTTTATTTAATATTATTGTTTAAGGACTACCTAAACATTAAGAGGGAGCTACATATTTATTGTCTGTCTTAGAAGTCCCTATTATAGCCAATTTACGCTCAGTAAGTTTAAAAATTGGAGTGAATCGACCTACTACAAAATTTCATTGTAAGAACAGTATCCGTGTTGTGTTTGCATGTGGATTTTTTACGATTATATTATATTTTAGTAAATTTTGCGTATTTAATATAACGTAAATTAAAAATGCTCATAACTTATAAACTGAATTATTGTAAAAACCCACATACAAACACAGATAATGTTCCTACCTTCAAATTTCATAATAGGTCGATTCAATTTTTAAACTAACTGAGCTAAAAGTGATCTGCAGATTCATTCTGAGCGTACATTTGCTATGTTACTTACTTGTAAGACTGAGATAACAAATATCATTATCTATGTAGCACCTTCTTAATAAAAACATCTTCCTAAAAGCACCAGATTGTACTTTCATTGTCATTTTGGCCGTCAAATGGAAGGAAATTAAATTTTACTTTCTTTAGTGAGGGATCAGTCCATTTTGATTAATCCATCAATCCGGAATGTTACATCCATTTCATTATTTTTCTAACCAGAACAAGCTGGATAGTTTATTTATCTAGGAATGTATAACTTCTTGATCTATGTTATAAGTTATTAATTGTACCATCTTCCTAAAAGCACCAAATTGTTCTACAATTGTCATTTTGGCCGTCAAATGGAAGTAAATTAAATTTTACTTTCTTTAGTGAGGGATCAGTCCATTTTGATTAATCCATCAATCCGGAATGTTACATCCATTTAATTATTTTTCTAACCAGGACAAGCTGGATAGTTTATTTATTTAGGAATGTATAACTTCTTGATCTATGATATAAGTTATTAATTGTACCATCTTCCTAAAAGCACCAAATTGTTCTACAATTGTCATTTTGGCCGTCAAATGGAAGTAAATTAAATTTTACTTTCTTTAGTGAGGGATCAGTCCATTTTGATTAATCCATCAATCCGGAATGTTACATTTCTTCAATTATTTCTACATAGGTACTCACTCAGGTTTATGATTTATTTTGAAATTAAGAACTACTTAATTTAAGTTATTTATAGGTAATTAGCATCTTCCTAAAAGCACCAAATTGTACTTGTACTGTCATTTTGGCCGTCAAATGGAAGTAAATTAAAATATGACTTTCTTTAGTGAGGGACTAATAGTTTTTGATAAGTCCATCAATCCAGAATGTTACATTTATATTTTGGTTGTCTATTAATTGTGGTTTTTTATTTTATGCCATTATAATATTATATTATAGTGATTGTTATAAATAATATTCTCGATCATTATTATCAAGAAATTATTAATACCTAGTTTAAATCATAAAACTACATACATTATAATTTGGTTAAATGTACTTACCTATTAAATATAATTATTTTTATTGACATTTTTTTGCAGACAAAAAGAATAAAAAGCAGAAGTGGATATCAATAGAAACAGAAGTTATTTCAATTGCTAGTGGAACATGCTGGGCAGATGAAGCAGAAAAAGAACATAATGGAAAACATGGTACAGCTCTTTCTTCATTGTACAGTTTAAGATGTGTTAATTCATAATTGTTTCAAAAGATGCCTTATGATGAATGTTTTAGAGTTTACCTTCGTTTATTTGGTTGCTTAAGCTTCTTAACGAGAGTAACATCAGTCAACAAGAATCTTGCTTCAGGGGTTCACACACTGAGTACTTTGTTACTTTATAACCCCGGGAAGGTCTGAGGCAAAATCGCTTACCCTCCAGCCGGGGGCCTTCTTAAAAAAGTTGGGCAGGAGAACCAGAAATTGGTCCAGTTCTAAGATTTTTGGGTCTGAGATGCCTCTGGTTGAGACTATAATCTTAGTTACTGTTGGAACCTCCTGTGATTCGCATTTTTAGTTCAATTTGCAAGGTTCTAGCTTATGCTAGTGTAACTCAATTCAGACTAATCTCTTGTTGACTGTTTATCTCTAAATCTGAGGGCTTTTTATATATGACTTTTATACAGGTGTTGCACAATAAATGTGTCAAACTTCTAGAGGTGTTTCTACCACTCAAAGTCCTTAAAAAATAATTGTTGATAGATAAAACTGAATTTTTTAAAAATTTTGACATTTTAAAGTTATAAACAATTTGTGTCATTCTTTTCACCCAAAAAATCAGGTGGGAGCCTTGTAAGATATGTTTTCCTAATCCCAATTTTATGAGCTTTTCATCAATGTATTCAAATTAATTGTAGTACCTACCTACGGTTTAGCAGTTATGAACATTATTATGAATCAAACTTGCGTTTAATCAAAAAAAACATGAACATGGAAATTATCACCCTAATCATTGATAATTCGATTATGGTCATAAGGACTTTTTTTGTTCCATTTGAGGCGTAGAAACACCTAAAAGTTTGACACATTTATCGTGCAACACCCTGTATATAAACTTTTGCATAATTTCCCTAGACTGTTTCAGTTATTGTGACAATTCATAAATAAAATTTAATTAAATAATAATAAATAAATAATATTAAATAATATTTAATTGAAAGAGATGAAAATGCTTTTTTTGTTAACAAATTTGTTTAGATTAGTTTTAGTTTAGTTAGTAAATAAAATCATACTTGAAATACCTAATATTTTTTTAGGATTTGCTGGCTTTGGATTCGAACCTAAGCCATTAAACCTTCCTAAAGCACCAAGAGCAGCATGTGAATCTATTATAGATGAAAGCACTGTGCCTCAAGAAGGTCCATTCTTGGTTCATATGTCAAATTTGCAGTTTGAAATTGATGAAGATGATATCACAAATTATTTTAAAGGACTCAAGGTATATAATAATTAAATACCTACCTAAACCTAAATATTTAATATATCTGGTAAAACGATAATTATCTGGTAAGTCTATGATCTAATCCTGTTTCTCTATTCAAAATGAGATCACTATCAGGCAACAAACTTGTAGGCTATGGATAGTGGCTTTATTTATGTTATTTGGGAAGTGGTTGATGTCATCTGAGTGTAGTGTTCTCTTATTAAATTGAATAGAACAAAATTTGTATTGTTAAACAGCTTTAGTAATCATAAATTGTTTTGTTTGACTACATTCGTAGTTTCTAAATCTAAAAAGTTAACACCTTGAACGCCGACGTTGATTTGGCATTTGCATGCCAGTTGCTGACATGATTTGACCTGCAGACGACCGTCTCCAATTATAAATTATCTCAAATTAGTAGATTTTACAAAATTGTCAATATGGTTATGAATGTCCAATAGAAATTTCAAATGTGTTCAGTTATAGCCACAAAAAAAAAACTCAAACAAAATAGGTTACTCTATGTCAACCCGTAGTTGACACTGGCTATGGGCGTCCGTTCATAAATGTCAACCACGGATTAGGTTAGGATATAACACTCAACGTGTTAAGAAAAGTTTTATTACATGATTCAATCAATTTTTGCTTATACTCTGCTCCACGAGAGAAAATTACAGTATCGCCACCTAAACGTGTCTGATCCCGTGCATTTCCCACTCAACGACAACGGCTCATTAATGTTTGGTACGTTAGGCAATGCTCGACTTGCAAATTTTAACCTATACTGTCACTGGGATAGTAATTGTGCCTCAGACTGGTCGCTGTTGTCAGTCTGCATGCACATTACTGTCATGTTCTTTTCTGACGCATAGTATAATGAATTGCACAGAGTTGATGATATTATTGCTTTCAATAAATATTTGCAGAAACTGTGCTATATTAAATTTTCATTTAGACACCATCTTTTTTACTGCTATTGAATGCTATAAACGGTTGCTAAGTAAAATACAATTCCTAGAATCAATATTTTAAAAATAAGCTACTGTTTTATAAATTTAAATTTTTATATTTTATGCCGAACCTAATTTAAAAAAAACATGCATAGAGTTGATAATCTTATTGCCATCGATAAGTATTTTGCAGAAACTATGCTAGATCAAATTTTCTTTAGACACTATTTTACTGTTAATAAATGCTTAAAATGGTCGCAAAGTAAAAGACAGCTCCTAGAATAATTATTAATTTTAATAAGCTACTGTTATAAGTTATAACAGTTTTTATAGATTTTAAATAAAGCTGTCTTAATTTAAAAAAAAAAAATGCATTGAGTTGATAATCTTATTGCCGTCAATAAGAATTTTGCAGAAACTATGCTAGATCAAATTTTCTTTAGACACTATTTTACTGTTAATAAATGCTTAAAATGGTCGCAAAGTAAAAAACAGATATTAATATTTGAAATGTAGCTCTGTTAGAATAAGCTACTTAAAATCTTACTATAATCTTTCTATGAATCTATATGACTTATTTTAAGTCTATTTAGAATTGTATGAATACTCAACTAAGTTAGATATGATAATTTATGTAGGTGGTCAAATATTAATTGATGTACTTATTCGTTAATCTTGTCCTGGCCTATTTGAAAATTGAACTTACCAACAATTAATTTTGATCATTTTTAAATTTAGATTAAAATTTCTTTAGAAAATAACTTACCATTGCCCCATGCCATGGTAATGATACTAATGCATATTATGGTTAACTAAACATTCAAATGCTTATCAATTTTTAATTATTGGTGTTTAATACATCAAATGTTTATAACAAAACTATAAAATTAGTTCAAATCATTTAAATCATTTTTAGATTTTGTGAAGTGTGATTTTAAAAGGATAATATGGTATTGTTAATAAAAAAAATATTTGTTAATATAATGGTTTAGTAATTATTATAATATAATGTATAAATAAGCAGTAATTTAGTAATTGTAGTAAAATAAATAAATTATTAAATATCTTCAGAAATAGAGGCTGACACTGTGAACTGAATCGCAATGTACACTAAATCCTACTTATAGCATAATGTGTTTTCCCCAGTTTTTTTTTAAATTTTCAAGTAGGAATTTGCTGAAATAATTGATTTATTTTAAATAATCTTTAAATACAAGTTATACTTTTCCCGATTATTAAGATATATTGGGTAACATAAGTATTTACTAAGTATTATATTATACTAAGTATTTACCCTTTCATAATGTAATGCTCAACTTAATCATGATGAATCAAAGGCGAATATTAGCATGTGGAGTTCCTTTCACATATTTGTGTTAGTTGAACCAATGTTATGTATATAATTAAAAAATTCTGATGCTTATTTAATGAAATGATTTTAGAACACAATAAAGGTTGTTCTTAAGGTAATTTGCATTAGGGTCTTAAGTCAAAAAGTACTACGATTTCTGAGAAAAGCATTGTTATTAAAGTTAACACTTAAGAACATACTTTTCCACAAAACTAAGAAGAAATGCCTATTTTGAAGAACTCCCTTCCAGTTTATTAACAAGTCGTTTGTGGCACCTATCACTTATTTGTCCGATTGTTATTGGCAAATATGAATATACCTATTTTAATTTATTACAGGGTGACAATTCAAGATTATATGGATGATGTTCCCTCAGTTTTTTGAATTTCTAAATTTCTTTATTTCTTTTTTTTCTAATAAATGGAGTTACATTTTCATGGAGAAGCATAATAAATTCCTTTTTTTGATTTCACTAGTTATCAATATTTAATTATCATTCTTAATTTTTTAATGGTTTCACAGTAGGCAGCTGAGTTGATTGTTGTTTAACTTCTAGGCATATTCTGGATCAACAGCATCTTGATAATCAAAGACAAGTGTCAACATCAGTTCTAGCAGATACAACAACTAAAGCTTTTTTTCATGTCGGGGGAAGTTGTGCATTTCCACTATCCAAACTTTTTACTGCTGTAAGCTTCACATACTTAAACACTTGTCCATTAATTTGTACCGGCTTATAATTTGTTTAACCATTCAAATCTAATTACTGCATTAACTTCAATCTTAAACAACAAGAAAATAACAGTAGTCATGATCGTCAATTGATGACTGACCTGCTTCACAACTAACATTCAGCAATCATTAATTTAGGGGATAATGCAGTAAGTGTTGACATAACATGTCATTGAAAAAAATTGACTTGGAAAAAAATATGGTAGAATGCAACTTACTTTTTGAACAACCCTCGTATTTTTTTTTTTTACTTAATTATTTATTTTATAAATTCTTCTAGTCTATGCTTTAATAACATAAAGACTACTTAAATATTTTTTTCAAATAACTAACCAAGAGCGATTACATAATAACCTGGATTTTTTAAATAAAACTTAGTCTCCTTCAAAGCAATCTGAGAAGCATTATTATTTATTACACTGATGTCATGTATTATAGAGGTTGTGGGTCTGCCAGATTGTTCATTATTTTAGACGGATGTTTGTTTTCTCCTTAAAATACTTGGACCTCTACATAGAGTGTGACAGAGTGTCATCTGTCTCCAAATGCTTTCTGTTAAAAGTTTCACTAGTGTGTTCCTTTGCTTACAATCTTTTGAACACATACATACACAGATTATCTAGATAATCTTAGATTATGTCTGTAATAATATATTCACTGTATAACTACAGTTGTTGGTTATGTCAAAACACTGTTAAGTATAAATAAACATTGTTGTTAAGTGGTGAGTTACTATAAAAATCAGAAAGTTACTTTATCTCATAATATTATTGACATTTTGCTATCTTTATGGATACAACTTATAAAGTTCAGATAAATTTCTATTATACTTGTGTGTGTACAACTATAAATAATTTGCTTGTTATTACATTCGATTATTAAATATTGGCTTCTATGTTTTAAATAGATAAACAACATAAAATTACCACGCAATGACAATGGTCGTAATAAAGGATTTGGATATGTGGAGTTTGAAGAACGTAAAGAACTTATTACTGCACTTGGAATGGAAAATTTGGTAAGTTTAAAAATATGTTATCTTTAATGTATACTTATATTGATCATTTACATCAAAAATATCTTCTAAAAAAGCACCAATATAGTATATTAAATAACTATATCGGTCGTCAACAGAAGTATAGCAATTATACATTCTTTGTGGAAAATTGATTTGATTAATCAATTTTTCAATCCAGGATGTTACATTTTATTTTGATTAGTAGATTTATCTAAATGTATTTCAAATAGGTCTTAATAAAATATTTACTTTATCTAGATTCGTGGACGTCGTGTACGAGTAGAACTTGCCAGTGGAATGCAAGATTCTAGAAACGCTTTTCAAAGAGGCAGTCGCATGGGTATGGATTTTCCTGGTGGTGATGAACCTGGTGATTGGCGATCGACTAACCGAACTTCAACTACAACTGATGACAGAGGAGGTAATTATACTAAATATCTTAATTAGTACGATTTGTAAGTTGTAGGAGTAAATTGAAATAAAAATGTACTTTTTTTTATTGTCCTAACACTTCTATCACATTTCACTTATATCATAGGTAATTAATTTTTAATTAAAAATATTATTTAATACTACTATGGTCTTTAAGTTCTATTGGCAATGATGTTGTAAGTAATGTACTATAATTTTTGTGATCAACAAGAATTTTCCAGTGTGTTACACTATCTTCCAAGTTAGCAAAACCAATTTTAGATCATACAAATTATGGAAGATCGCTTACGACACCATTTCCATACTATTCTTATGAAGTTCTAAGTTATAACTAAATAATACATTTTTTTCTTCTCATACCTAAGATTTTTATTTGCATATGTACATGCACATTTTATATATTTTGATCTCCATAACTTTTGATCCCTAATTTATAATACCTTAATAATAAGTTATATTATTTTATAGGATTTACTAGGCGACGAGATGGAGGTGCTTTTGATAAAGACCACGATAGTGAACGAGATAATGGTCCTTGGAGAAGTGCCAGGTGTAATGTTGATGATGATGTGGCACGTAAACCGTTTAGTGGTCGTTTTGATGATTCTGAAAGCGGAAGAAGACCTTTTAGTGATCGGCGAAGTGATGACTCCGAGGGCGGAAGAAGACCTTTTGGTGATCGTCGAGGAGATGATTCTGAAGGTGGTAGAAGACCATTTGGTGATCGCCGAAGTGATGACTCTGAGAGCGGTAGAAGACCATTTGGTGATCGTCGAGGAGATGACTCTGATAGTGGTAGAAGACCTTTTGGTGATCGTCGTTATGATGATTCTGACAGCGGAAGAAGACCTTTTGGTGAGCGCCGTGATGATGTCGAGGGTGGGAGAAAACCATTTGGTGAATCTAGAAGAGGATTTGGTTTCAATAAACGAGATGATGAATTACCTGAAATTGGTAATTATTAATTATTTTTTAAATAGTTACCACATTTATGAAATTTTCATAAACTCTGTTTGAATTCATTTTTACCTCACCTTAATTTAATATTTTAAACTTTTTTTATTTCAAAATATAAAATGAGAAACTGTCAAATTAAAAATTGCTGTTTTTTATGGATTTTATGGTTAGTAAGCTGTAACTAATATTTAACATTTATTTATTAGCTGGAGATAATACTTCAGCGCCTCAAGAACGTCCAAAGCTCATACTCAAACCAAAGACTGTTGATCCTGATGCACCTAAGACTGAAGCACCTAGCTATGTAGCTGCACCATCTATATTTGGTGGAGCTAAACCTGTAGACACAGCAGCTAAAGAAAGGGAAATTGAAGAGAAACTTTTAGCCAAAAATGAATCCAAACCTCAATCAGAATTACCTAAACCTCAATCAGAACTTTCTGGTGCTTCTTCGGAAACTAGTTTAAATGAGACTTCTGATAATAAGTAAGTTTTTATCTTTTATATTATAAATGAACTAATTTTGTATATTTTTTACATCTTCTTCATAATAGTTTAGTTTCCATGGCAACCAACAATTAAAATATTTCTAATAGTTTATGAAAAAAAGTTTTGTTATAATATTATATTTTTAAGCATAACCAAGTTGGGTCTGACTCTTTGAATCCGAGGGAATTGTTAGCGAAGGGTGCGGGGATTGCCGTCTAGATTTTTTATTCAAGTATTAAATGGTACAAGTGTTCCTGATATAATTTTTTTAATAACATTTTAGTTCTTGTAAGATTATAATTGATATTTTATTTATTAAGACATCCATATCTATTTTATAAGTACATTATTTAAAGAACTAAAATTATGCTCCAATGCATGGCGTGAATTGAAGATAAAACATTAGATTTAATTAATTTTTTTAAATTGGTAAGGAAAACAAGGCTACTTGAATCCTTAAAGATCTAAACTAAAAATTGGCTGATTTTTGATAGACCAAAAATAGTACTTTATTTATTATTTGGAATGAGCATTCAGCCAAAATTAAATGAGCAATCATAGTACCAGCTAAATTTAATTCTATTTAGTTGACCTCCAATTTGCTCAATAAATTAAAAAGAATAATTAAATACATTTTTCTTTAATGAACTTAACTATTAAGTTTTAACACCACATTATATACTGTATTCTCTATACTATTATTAACTATTAAATTTGTTCTATCCAAAATTCTGTTACAAAAACTCACTGTTAATTTAACTTTATATAATAATATATAACTTAGCAAATGAATGCCTATATTATTTTGTAGTGTGATTGTCTTGAAAGTTGTTGTCAGGAATAATTATAATATGATGGGAACAAATATCTGTAAAATGTGTAGGTAAATTAAATTCATGAAAGTATTTCATTTTAGAGGAAAATATTTCTATGAACTGAAAGTTGTACAAGGCTGAATTTTGATAGACCAGAAATATAGTTTTTATTACCTGGATTGAGCATTTAGCCAAAATTAAAAGAGCAATCATAGTACTAGCTAAATTTAATTCTATTTAGTTGACCTCCAATTTGCACGATAAATTAAAAAAAGGACAATTCACTTGTTTGAAATGTTCTTAATTCTAAAGTTTCAACTGAAGGATATAATGTATTGAAAATAATTTAAGTGGAGTTATTAAGAAATCAGCTGTGGAATAGTTAAGATTTTAAATTAACCATGTTTGTGAACCTATTAAACTAGACCTACCATAATCGTCTTATTTTATAAGGTGTCAAGAAGAAACAGAAGTCAAGCCACCACCTCAGCCTAAATCAGTTGAAACATGGAGGCGCAGGAGCCCACGTCGACAAAGTGATGATGATCGTATACCTCGGCGAAGAGTTTCTCCTGAACGTAACCCTAGATATGAAGAAGCTCCACTTCCACGAGAAAATGCTTGGGAGAAACATTCTCTAATTAAAGAATCCTTGTCTTCCGAAGAAACTGGGTGCAATGGAACCCCGTCAATGTACTTAAAACATTTATATTAATCAAAATGTATTTTAATAACAATATTAATATGCTTAACGGTTTTTATTTCTAGAGTGGAAGATGAAAAACCGAGACCAAACGTTTACATTCCACCAAATCTTCGTAAAAAAACTCCTTTAGGTGAAGAAACTGTAGTAATAGGTACAGAAGAATCTGAACCTATTAGAGATGAAACTGTCCCTGATTTAGATAAAAATATTCCCGATAGAGCAGCTGATGGGTCAGAAATTATTGAACCCATAGTTGTAGAAGCACCAATTGATGTCAGAACTGACCCTGATGGGCAATCTAGTGAACCTGATGTAGTGAAAGATCAACCAGTTACCGAAGAAGATACAAATGATTCTGGATTTATTGAATGTGGAAAAAATAGTTCTGATAAATGTAATTATTTATTATTTAAATGTTACTATATAACAAATAAACTAAAATAAAATATTAACTAAATTTTAGATAAATCAAAAAAGAAGCCTAAAGTCATAAAAAAATTACCAGAAATAGAAGTTAAAAAGAAGTAATTTAAACAATTTAAATTTAATAATTAATTTATAACTAATTATTTATATAATTTATAGAGATCCTGTTATAACCAAGGAGCTAAAGAAATCTGTAAGTATTATTATTCTATTAGTTATTAAAATTAAAATCATCATATAATGGTTATATTATACTTTTAAAGTCAATTATCAGTATTTTAACCCTTTGAGCAGCAGCCTTGATATACATAAATGCAAAACAGGGAGCAGTATATGTTCGTCCTATTTTAATACGATTAATAATGAAAATAAATCAATTGATTGAAATTATATTTTACATATGGCAGCACATATTTTATTTAAGGTATTTTACAGCAATGAAACTTAAACAAATAAATTAAAAGGAATTTGTGGGAAAAAAACGTGTATATACGTCTGTGCTCTCAAAGGGTTAAGATGTACAAACCATTTACATTTTTAAAATACTCATAATTCGTTCTAAAATTAAAATTTAATAAAATGTCTATGCTGTGGTGTATTGGTAAATCAATTTATGGGTATACGCACCTATATATAACTTTTTTAAGAAAATTTTCTCTCTCAACTCGAAAAATCATTACACTTAATATTTAATAATCTTTTATTACTTTAATATAAACACTAACCTTTCATGTGAATATTTATATGCAGTGGGGTATATATGAGGGGTTCACCCTATATTCACCCCCACCCCGAAATGAATTCCTATATACACCACTGTATGTAATATGTACCAAGTATCAGTATCGAACTTATAATTTTATTTTATTTAATTCAATTCGTAAATATCATAAAGAATACAACTTTTTTTATTAAACTTAAAAAAATTGTACAGAAAAATAAAGGGCTTATCTAACTTTAAATAATATACAGTATTTATTAGTCTGTACTATCTATTAATCTATGTTGGTAACATATCAAAATTTAAATATTATTATAAATAATTTTAACGGCAGTTTCTGATCGTCTTCGCAAGAACTCGAAGTTCATGTGAGTACGGAGATATTTTTTTACAGTGTACTTAATGTCACAATAAAATATTATTCTATTAATTTGTTTATTATTATTATTATTTTTAACTTTTGTTTGGTGATAATATGACTAAATTGTCTGTCATAAATTGGAAGAGTGCGTATACCCTTTTTAAAAGACTAATTTTTTTAAAGGTTACACATAAATCCAAAAATAGGGATCTGGGTATACGACATATACCCGCGTATACCCTCCAATACACCACTCTGAGTCTATGAGATGCCCTAGATAATGATATTACCTTTAAACTAGCTGAGCTAAGTGTGATTTTCTGGGCTTAAAATTTGGTATACTACGCACTTGTAAGACAGATATAACAAATGTTTGTGTAGCGTCCTCTTAAGGATGCCACTCACAGTGGCAGTAAATTTCTTTTGCCAATCTCTTATTATTTGAAAGTATTGTAACAGTATTTAAAAAATATCTTGGTACAATGGACGGTTAACCTGGTGGAAGGAGAATAAACTTAATACTATGCAATGGTAAGCGAATACCAAAATAATTTATAATTGAATGTTGGATTAAATTAATAATTATAAAAACATTAATTTAAACATCTATATTTTGTCCGATGAAAATCTGTTCATCTGTGCTTACTAGTCATAGAGATAAGTTTCATGATGGCAGGGTTAGGACTTAGGAGGTAGCTTATGGATGTGCAGAATTAGCACGTTCTTTCTGACAGATTATAGTTACTTATTTATTACATAATATTCCATGACCTGCAATTTTCATTATTATAAATATAAATTTACTTTATTTTGTTTTAGACTAGTAATAAATTTGCTGCACTTCTTGATGATGGTTCCAATGAATAGAAAATACAATTTATGTTTTATATTATTTTTTAATTATTTTTCATTAAATTGTTATACTACTTATATTTAAGGATATATATATATATATGCAAATAGAGAAAGATAGAGCTCTTAAAATATGTTAAACTCAAGACAGCAATCTTCTATCTTTCTTTATAACCTCATTATTATGTTATATTCATTACATTAATGTCTGAAAAAAACGTTTAATAGTAAATGTAATTTTTGTATGTTCTACATTTTAAGTTACAGTGAACGTGACTTGACGTCTGTTGTTACACTTCATCCATACAAATTTAAAGTGATACAAATTAAGACATTCATCTTAATTTAACTATTGAATCATTTTTTTTAAAAAAAGTTTTGTGGCTTGCACAATTATATGCCACAGTACAAATACGTTTTTTTTTGTGATTTAAATTTATTTTTTTTGCAATTTTGTCGTCTAAACAATTCATAAGACTGCTTACTTGAATAAGTGAATTATAATTTTTTTATATTTATATATATATATATATATAAATATTAGGTATTATGATAACAGGCGCTCATTATTTATGTTAACAAGACTTTGACCAAGGACAAGCCACTGCCAAGTTTCCTTTTAGTATCTTAATTTGTGAACATTTTAAAATTTTGTTTGTGATTCGTGTATCAACAGACTTACATAATTATTGGATTTTAACTAATAAATTTATCTATATTATATTATATATTATATTCATAAATTAAGTAAGTATTATAATTTATAAAAGAAATATTAGATATAACTGTACATTTTGTCTCTTGAACGTATGCAGTCTTGTGATGTATTTATTATATTTTTTTTTGTTTTAATTTTAAAATACTTAAATGTTTAAGAACGTGAGTTAATTAATTTTTGATACTGACTTAGTTTCAAAATATGATTTAAACTTCATTTAATCATTTGTATTATGTAAATATTAATAAATTGTAAAATATTAAATTAATATTTTTACTTTCTAGTAGATATTTTAAATTTACAATATCGATATTATTGTATTCTTTGATTATAGAATCTGCTCGAGCAGTTTTAATGTTTAGGTTAACTATAATATTATTATTGTGCATTATTTATATAAAAGTGTTGTTCATTGGTTATTACATTTAGTATCCCTTTTTTTTTAAATTTTTTGTTGAACCTATATGTATATAACTGAAAATTATTGTTATTTAGTTAGTTTTTCAAAAGAAATACAAAAACCTATTCCTTAAAAATTTTAATGTAAAATGTGTAATAATTGGACAATACATTATACTGCCTCAGTGATTCTCTGAATGTATGTACTTTATTTGTAATATTGTAAACATTGGTTTACTATGGATTATTTTTGGAAATACATGTGATATTATCTATCATTTTTTTTATACATACATAATTTATTATTGTGGGATTTTTTTTATATCAACTGATTCCAGTTCAAGTTTTTGGTCGTGCAATATAACTATTTAATCTTGCGTGAAATAGACTTCTTCATATAGTTTTAATTTATTTGACATTTAGTTTAAAAACTATTCCCTTGCTTTTTAAATTTTTTTATGAACAATAGAAATGGGAAATAACTTTGTAAGTATTGCGTTGAATGGCGAGAAGTTTAACAAATGTAATAAATATATGACAATATAATAGTAATTGTATTTGAGTTATATAATTGTTTATAATTAGAAAATTGTGTAATTTATTGTTAATTATCGTCTGATATGCAGAATGGTATTTGGTACTCTATGTATTTTATATATATATATACATATATTAATGTATGATATTTTTTAGTGCTAGTCCTGTTTATTTGTAAACAATGTGTGATTAAGTGTTGAATATATTATCGTTTTTTCCCACAATTGTTATTGTTGTCTTGACATGAAACTATCTACTAAATAATTCTCTTGCGAGTTTCCTAAGTAAAAGGTGTTCAATACAATATTATGTTGAATGAATCTGAAACATATTATATTAATTGGTAGATTTAAAATTTTCTAACTCATTCCTTATAAGTTATAACCTATTTCCTTTTCACTCTATTGATTTATTGGTACCAGTTCTTTTATATCCCCGAAGCTTTGTAGACACGTTGTTCGGGTTTGTCATCTTCAATCCATCTATACTAATAACTAATAAGTAATAAATGTATCGCTTTAATTATTTAATAATTTAAGGAAAAAGCGGACTATTATTATTTACTAAGTACTTACCATAGTAGCTAGTGTTGATCGCATTAAACTCTAAAATTGTGGGAATCGCTGAAATCTTAAAATTTTTTATATTTTCTATCTTAAAAATTATTTTATAATGCTCAATTATTATTTCTATTGTGATCAGTGGCGTATAAACAAATTATTTTCAGTATGGGCCAATTTTGGCAATTTATCACTATCAACCATAGCACGACTAACATAGCTATACATATTTTAGGGAGCTGGGTGGTTATAATTATGACATATACAATACAAATAAAAATTACGCAATTTTTTTTATAATTATGCAAAAATTAATTTTTTAATTATTTTTTAAAAAATATTGAAAATTTCATATATATATGTATATTTTAATGTTATCTAACTGTGAATTTAACATCAAAGTCATTAAAGCAAGTCCCGGCCATCACTTCTTTGTTGATTCATAAAAAACGATTTTAATTAACCGGCTAAATTAATCATGGTGAAAAACTAAACAGTGTAGACTGTAGATATGCATCATAACATGAAATGTTTTAATTGAACCTGCAAATTCACTAGAGGCCCTCCCCCCCTATATACACCACTGATTGTAATTGCTTAATATAATATGAGGAGGGGTGGAAATCCAGAACGTAGGTACTATTGCCAAAATACTGATTTATTCATTTTACATGTTATTTTGAATCCAACAATACAGACCCAGAGATATTTAAAATACGTATCTATTTAGCGTAAAACATAGTACGCGTTTTGGTATAATCAATGATTGCTACTTATTCTTTTAAGTTGTAACATAAAAAAATATTACGTTTTGGCGTATAACTGGAAACAGTACGTTTTGATTTTATAGATATCACTTTTATGCATGGAAAATGTTCGATTTGGATTAACTAGTCATTTTGAATAGCGTATTGACCAGGAAATTTTACGCTTTGAACGACGACGTCAATATTGATTTATCGATATTTTTCTCATAAGGATCTATATCTAACTCGATTTTAGCATTGTACGTTTTGGATTACCACCCCTCATATACTTGCATTATTATGTTTACAAAATTTAATACGCTTTCAAAAAATGAATTATTATTACCACTTATATACTATTTGTTATTATTAATATATTGGCCGTTTTTTCTGATTATTATGGTCTATGGATGGCGGGGAGATAACAATAATATTGACTGAGCTATAAAGTTTAAACTTGGCCGGGCCTATAACAAACCAGTAATAATCAGTGGCGGATCCAGGGCTTAATTTTGGAAGGGGCATGTGGGGCAGAATAGTACAAAAAGTTCCGAAATTGGCTAAACACAGTGTAAAACTACAGCGATTGGGGCGTAGGGGCAAATGCCCCTTTTGCCCTCCCCCCTGGTTCCGCCACTGTTACCAATAGATTTATTGATCTATGTTGTATTCGGTATGAGTATTTTACCGAATGTCGGTAGTTGATTATAATATATAAAACGCAGACAGCAGTACAAAAGAACAAAATCACTCAAATGATTGATACCTACGCATCGCCCATCGCAGCGCGTATAAATCTTATAGTCCTTGATGAATATATTCATTTGAAAAATTAATTTGTCCCCACTGTTGCCTGGAATGTGATTATTCCTGTTATGCCTAGGTGTTATGCCTGATGCCTCCTTCCTTCTGTTTACTTACGTACCTACTATTTATTTTCTGTCCAGAGATTAGCGAGTGATATGGTCATATGGACGATTGTTGTCATAATGTCATATTTCTACAATTTAAAAGATTCTCTCTTACCAAAAGAAATGTTGGATGAACTTTGTAAAAAAAAGAAACCATTAGATTTTGTACTTTAAAATTATAAAATATATTTGTGTTAAAATTAGCCCATGAGATTTAAAATACCTATCATCAATATACAATAAAACAAATATTTTCTATTCTTATCTATATTATAAAAGCAAGTCCAGATTTTGTGTCAAGGGTTGACTAACCTAACCGATTTGGCTGATTCTTGTTTTGTTATGTTCGTAATTGTCAGGACCAGGTAGTTATGAAAGAACATTTTAGGAAAATCTACAGGAAAAGTAAGAAATCTGAATGTCAAAAATATAAAAGTGGCGCCATTTGTACAGGAAAAAAATAAACTAAATAATAATATATTTTTGTTTATTGTAAGGTTGCTATTGGTTATGAATTTATATAAGTTGTTAATTTGGAAGAATTTTATTAAAATAAAAAGAAGAAATTAAACCTTGGAAAAAAAACCGTTGAAAGGTGGATAGACAGGATTTGTGGAGACACAAAACAGCCCTACAATTTGCCAACAACTATCCACGGCCCACGGGGGCGGAAACAAATATTTTCTATTCTTATAATCTAATAAAAGTTATTTCTTTATATCCGTATGTCGGAATTATTGGGCCCCCCAGAAAAAATACCTTCTTAATGAATTTGCAACAAAATAAAATCGGCTAATTATTGAACCACATACTATTGTATTCGAATATTATTATTATTGTTAGGTATTGGGGATTCGATGCCGACCGTTTTAAGAAGTTCAATATAGGCAATTATCAGCTATGTGTTTGGGTAGTAAATAGTAATTGATCGTTACTCTAATAGCGTGAGGCGTCAGGCGTGAGTAACTGTGTACGAAAAAAATAGTGGAGCGCTCTCACAATTAGTGCGCCATGCACAATAGGTATGTCAATAACGCACTACACGAATATTAATTGTTGTTTTTTTGGTCAAAAGCACCAATTTTTTTTACACAATCGTCATCGTGTGTTAACATTTAACAACCTATTTATCCGAAAACGTATC